AAGATTTTCAGCTTGTGTTATGCACCTGCCACCTTTGGGAGGTTAATAGAGATTATATTTTGAAGGCTTAAAATATAATATTGCTTGCTATGTGTCTTAACCTTGTAACATTAGTTTATTTTAGCTTATTAGGCTTCAGGCTTATTTTTGTAAAGAAACTTGGGGCACGTTCTTGTTCTTTCGTTGTTGCTAGGCAACATGTGATTCGAATTGTTACGTTAATCCCGTTATTTATTAAACATCTCGTACTTGTAGAAGGCTTAGGTAATTGAGCCGAAAGCTTTTTCAATTAAAAAAAAAACAATAACAAAAAACGTGGTGATAGTCCAAATAAATTATTTAATACAAATATGACTACTCACTATAAAAGCCTGAAAAGTTCCTTAGTCAGAACTATGTTTGAATTTATAAAGGTTTTATTCGTTAGTAGTGTATCATAGTTTCCCCGAAAGAAGGCCAAAGGTCGCCTGCAGGGGTCACCTGTTTTAACGATTTGCACAACTATATAATAGTGTCTGTCAGTCAGTCAGCAGACACTAAAATGACTTCATACAAGGGACGATTAACATTGCAATTTGTACTGTCGTGACGTCAGTAAAACGTGCGCATGCCATAAACCACGAGAAGAATTATACACTCTATAGGCATGTCATATGAACTTAAAAATATTTGTTACTGTTAATTTTGATCGTATTTACTCTTGAAACAAAACACTTTCAGGGATCCTGTGGTAGTTCATCTAATTTAAAGATTTACTTCTGATTCACTGTAAGTCAAATTTGCTTTTGAAATATTGATCCTGAAAAAGGTGTTTTAACTGGGGAATTAAAGCGTGGATTATTATGTTTGATTCCTGTGTATCACTTTTTAAAGGGTTTTGCGGTGCGTTTCTTTGTTTAAGGGTTTTTGTTAGTGTGTGCATACTTGCGCAACTCTGTGTTAAATGGTATATTTTTGCTTTTTTCCCCACGTTAAATGGTTTTATTTGAAATTTTGTGCTGTTTCATTGTTAGAGAGCATTTATATATTGTACTTTGTTTCTCTTTTTAAAGGGTTATTCTTGAAACCTGATACATCCTTCATTGAGCCTAGTCTAAGCTAAAGGCATTGTCAAGTAAAGTTTTTTTTGAAAAAGGTTGTCTTGACGTCGATTCGTTGTTTAAAGTGTTTATTTCATGTATGGATTCATTGTTTATGAGTAGTTCTTCATTTTTGTATTTTATTGTTTAAGGTTTTGGCGACTGTGGCGTATTTGGAAGCAAAAGAGTTAACACAATTTTTGATCAGCGCGAGATTAAAGCTTACTGGCTTTAAAACTGGAGTTAATTATTGGGTCAAGCCTGGTCGGTAAAGAAAACTGAAAACTGTGGTATAGGACTTTTACATAGGTTTTTCTCTGTGGTATTAATATTGATTCTAAAGTTACTCTTTGTCCTGAACATGTGCAAGTTTCTAAATAACACGTGGTCAAGTTACTTTTCTTTCTTTGATCTTTTCAAAATTAGGTAACACATGTTACTGTTGTCCACTTAGAACATTGTTGCATGCGACTTGGGTAAGGTTGGGGCTATGTTCTTCCTTGGTTGTGCAGGTTATACCTAGAGGTTTTGGCCCCACCTTTGTAGAATTAAAATAACCAGTCATATGATAGCACATTCATGCGAGGTTTCGTTTTAACTAAACAAACAAACAAACTCTCATTGATCTGGCTCTCGTCGAGTTTGTACTTCAGAAATCCAATTGAAAACAAAGCAATGTTTCATCATAGAGCAAATACAAACACTATTTTCTTGTCTCGGTGTCTAATAAAGACTGTGTTCATAGTGTATTACATCGTGAATTCAGTCTGTTTACTCAGAATTGTCCTGGTGATAACTATATTTTGTTTGATTCTCCCGTTTGTTAGACTTATCCGATCTAGCTTAAACGTATTTTTAGTTCACCTGAAAATATCACACTTTTATAGTCAAGTAATTCTGGAGAAGTACATCTGATTTAGTGTAATTGCATAGTTGTTTATAAAATTTATGTATATGAATTTATGAATGGGTATGTATACATGTTTTTGTGCGTGTGCGCAAGAAGAATTGGAATTTTCAACCTGAACGGCACGTTATGCGACACATGGGCTAAATGGCCATATTAGAGACTCTTGAAGTTCAGGTACAATCACTGGCCCACCCCTATAGGGTTGTGACCAGAAAGAAGGGTAACTAACCAATAGCACTAGAATAACAGAATTGTAATAGTAAAGTTCCGCCACTCGATATACTAACCATTAGACTAAGCGTAACTTACGTGTGTGTGTGTGTGAGAGAGAGAGAGAGAGATGTATCTTCCTTATGGTCCGGACATGACATGTCCTAACGTGACGTAATCAGAATATAATAGTTACAACTCGTTCAGTACAAGGTTATTTAAGATTTGTTCGATCGGCTTTCACTAGTTTTCAAAGTTTGAGTAAACAAAGTTATGTTGAATATTTTTTTTTATTCAGTATATTTAACGAGGAAACCCGAGTATTTCTCAAAACTTTAGTTTCTCTTGGGCTACTAAAGAAAAGGGTAATTCTTATTCAGTGTTTAAAAACATTAATCTTAGGGATCAAATCCTGGTATCGAACATTATCGCTCTTTAGCTATGAAGGCGTTATAACGTTGCGCTCAATATCTTGCTATTAGTTGGTAATAGAGTAGCCCAAGATTTGGTGGTGCCAATCGGTTACTTTCTCTCTCGTCGACAGCTTAAAATGAGGGACGGCGACATATAGCCTCAGTAGCTTTGCCATAAGTAAAAAAACGAATGAAACAATAATGTTTCAATGATGTTTAGAATGAAAATTGTACGAATGCATTTATTCTGTTTAGTCATAATAAAAGCCAGTCCCAGAAGTTTGTTGCTTTTAAAAGTTGTTAATTACCTTGACTTATTCTCAGCTTTTTAGGTTACCAACCTGTTTTTATGATCATATTATTTTCATTTTTGAATAGGTCGCGAAATAGCGGAAAGCGGTGTTAGTTAGAGACAGGAAAATTTTTAGTAAATGTTACATGAATAATTGTTAAAAGCACAGCAGGGGGTAGAGAAAGTAACTGTGCCCAAATAGTGTTCGCGCGATCAAACAGAAATTTTAACAGAACATAAGCTTTTGTGAGGCAGCATCAGCCTGTGAAGTGGGCGACATAACCGCTAATATGCAGGTTCAAAACGTTAGGACTACATGCTATTGCTATATGTAACCACATATCCGTTAACAAAAGTATATATTGTTTATTACTAGATATACTTCCACAGGTCTCCGAAAATGTTCTGTTTCAATAATAAATAAAACCAAAATTAACAGTAACAAATATTTTTATTTCTTGCTTTCGAAGTTCATATGCCATGCTATGTTGTAGCCAATAGCGTGCACAACTCTTCTCGTGATTCATGGCATGCGAAGTACAAACTGCAACGTTAAGCGTCCCTTATGTGACGTCATTTTTTTTGTCTACTGACTGACAGACAACACACTACTGTATCAACTATAATGGTGCGAGTAGTTAAAACGGGTAACCCCTCCAGGTGGTCTTCGGCCCCCTTTCGGTGTGTCAAGCGGTTCTTAACTAAAAGTCGGTTGTGACCCACTTGTGGGGTACATGGCAGCGAACGTATTAAACCCTTAATTTCCGTCAAAACGTCGGGTGCTGGTTTATACAGTTCATATTTGCAAGCTCATTTCTCCACAACAACGTATTAGGACAGTAGTATAATACTGTTTTATGGGAAAATGAAGTTATATTTTCACAGCGGTCAATATAAATCAGGTTTCAGCAACATATTGTACTGTTACGTCTCCGTTCGTTAGTTAATTTTCCGTAAAAATTCTTTCCGAAGAAACTTTATTGATACAAGTCCTGTCTTAGATAAAACTGGTTTATTCTTTCTGAATACAACTTTGCGATACACTTAATTTCCACAGTCGCGCTATAACAAACGCTGTAATTCACAACGAACGCCTCGCATGCTCAACTCAACAATATGTCTCTCTGTCCGCAGTTCAATTACATTGTTGCCCTCACGTCTTGACCGGTTTATATATACAAGACTACCGCATATCTAGTAGGCTCTCGAGATTTCAGGAAGGGACGTGAACGTTCGAGAATATGACGTGACCCCCGCTGTCGTAACATTACACTATAGTGTACTATACGATACTTCAAGCTTTGCAGTTTGTCTCCCATATTTTAAACCTTGATATAGTGAGTAAATTTATTCTGCAAATATGAATGAGACACATGAGTGGAATCTTAAGTGGAAATGTTTTAATTATAAATTTTTAGTAATTTAAATGCTCATACATGAAAAATATTACTTACTTAAATTGTTTAAACTAAGTTTGACGTGATTATCGTTATCTCTGTTAATTTTTTGCTATTTTGAGACTGAAGTTGACAGACTTTAGTGTTGAGTAGGATTAAATGTCTTGTATTTGATCTGTACACGAGAAAGGAATATCGAATTTGATTTGCTAGTATGAATCGAACAGCGACTGTGAAGTTAGGATTATAATTTATACTGCTTATAGAAACATATCAGGCCCGGCATGGCCAGGTGGTTAGGGCGCTCGACTCGTAATCTGAGGGTCGCGGGTTCGAATCCCCGTCACACCAAACATGCCAACCTCCGCCTTTGCCTGGTCCCAAGTCCAGGATGAGAAAGGAGTAGGGTTGGGCGCGGGGCTAGCAACTCCACCCCGTAAAAACCAACCTGCTACAAGTAACTGTAGTTGTTGCGGCCCTATGCTCCACTGGGAGTTCACAGGAATAAAAAATAATAATAATAACAAAAAAAATGGAAACATATCTTGTTCATTTATCAGACAGTATGTAATAATTAATGTATACTTATTGTGTAATAAGACCGATAGCTCGTATTCTTCATATACATAACTGCTTTAAATCTATTTTATGTTTCTATGGTTTAAATAAAATGAGCTGACTGTTTTATATCATTTCTAGATAGTACAGATATTGTGGACTGTAAGCTAAAGCTGATCCTAGGACTGATATGGACTCTAATCTTGCACTACTCCATCTCCATGCCCATGTGGGAGGGTGAGGATGCAGATGTGCTCCTGGGAGAGAAAGGTGGACCCACCCCTAAACAGAGACTTCTTGGATGGATTCAGAGCAAACTTGTGGATCTGCCGGTACAGAATTTTACATCCGACTGGAAAGATGGCATTGCAGTCGGAGCTTTAGTGGATGCTGTGGCTCCAGGTTAGACAGAAAAATTATTGGATCTTAAAAATCTAGAGTAACTAAACATTCATTTTATAAGAAATTTTCTAAAGAATCGTAATATCATCAGCATATTTAAATAATTTATTGTATTCATTCATTTATGTCATTTATATAAATCAAAAAGGAGGCAAACGTCCTAAAACTGAGCCATGAGGCACCACACTTGTGACATTAATCCAGTTTGACTGAACTATATTTATAACAACCCCCTCCTTTGTTCCATCCAGCTAATTTTCTGTCAAATGAGCCAAAATATCACTCATACCTACAGAGAACTTTATTAACAAGCCTTTTATGTGGCACCTTGATAAAGTATTTTTGATGATCCAGATACACCCCCCCCACCCACACACACACACACGCACACTCATCTACATAAGCAGTAACCTCTTCAAAGAATGTCAAAAAAAATAATAAGGAAAGATTTTTTACCTAATGAAGTCATTCTGACTATTCAACAAAATTTTAAACTTTGTTAAATGACTTTTAAAAAATGGACTTTCAAAAAACTTTTCCCACCGGTGTAGATCCATAATTACTGGAATAATTTTTATCATCTACCTTAAAAAGATGATTAAAATTAGCCAACCTCCAATCATCTGGCACCTGCCCACTCTTTAAGGTCAAATATCCAATCCTTTACATCCTTCAAACCCTCGGAGAAATTTTATTTGGCTCAGAAGTTTAGCATTCTTTAAACTTCTCAATTTTTATCTTAACAAGGTGAGAATTTATGTTATCATCTTGTTCAATTGCTTAAATCTTCATTAGTAAAAACTGAAGAAAAAATAATCTCATAATCATCAAATATAAGTCTTTCTGTATCATTTCTTAAAGGGTTCACTACTATCTTAAATTTTACTTACCCTTAATGTATTTCAAGAAATCTTTACTAATAAGTTTTGCATTTTCTATCGATCCTTTTTTTTTCATACAATTTTTATTCCTAATTTCCCATCTGGCCATTGTAGCCCACACAGTTGTGTAATTATTTTGTTTAAATAACTGGATATGTAGTATTAATTTTTAAGAATTTCAGTGAAAATGTTTAGAATTAGCCTTGAAAAAACATCAAATGTGTTCTTTTGCATAAATTATTGAACTAGTAAACTCGCCAGTTTCATATTCTTGTACACAGACCAGTTATTTTTAAGTAGTCTTCACCATGCAAAGTGTTTGTTTGTAATTAAGCACAAAGGTACACAATGAGCTGTCTGTGCTGTGCCCACCAAAGACATTAGAAATTGGGCTTCAATAGACTTGCCACTGCAGGGGCAGTTTGATAAAATATTACTAAGATAATTAAAAACAGTTTAATTATTGTTTGTTTCAGAGTAACACATTAGAAATTAAACTGCATTCTAATTAAACAGCTGTATGGTCACTTCAGCCCTACCCTGTATATTATTATATTGTACTATTTTTTTTCAAAGTTTTATTTTGATATGGAAGCTCTGAAAGAAACACGAAAAACAATTTTTTAAGAGTTTTCAGATATACCAAATATAAGAACCATGCCTTTTAAACCTAATATTGAGGTTCGTTTAATGGTTAATTAACTTAAATAATATTTGTATTTGTGTTAGGGTTGTCTACCCCACAATAACAAGAAAATAAACTTGAAACATAAAACATATCTAGTAAAAAAAAAACTGAGTTAATAAAGAATTACTATGAAGTGTTGTTTTTTCTTACTTTTAAAGGTCTGTGTCCTGATTGGCCTGATTGGAGTTCCAAAAATGCTTTGAACAATGCTAGTGAAGCTATGAATCTTGCTGATGATTGGTTAGGTGTTCCACAGGTATGAGTTTATTTTACTTTGATAAGCTACTTTTATAATTTCTTCAAGGAATGTGTAACTTGCAACTAACTCTTGTCAAGTTACTCACAATAATATTAAATGCTATGCCTTTCTAAGGTAAATCACACAATAAACTAAAATTAGTATGAAATATTATTCCAGATTGTATTTTTTTTTCATTTCAATTATTGATAGTACCATAAATATCGTATAAGCTACAAAAATTAACAATGAATGGTATATTGGACACTCAAATTAACATTAAGTATTATGCAAGTTAGTAACATTAATATTAAATATCGTACAAAATGCTAAAATTAATAATAATCTTATATAACAAACTGAAATTAAAAATAAGTATCTTGTCTATGTATAAAAGCCACTGTCCATTGGTAACACTGTGTAAGTCTCACATTTAACTACCAGTACAGTTAGGATTTTTTATACTTTTTTTTTTTTAAATTAAATGATCATGTTTAGAGCAAGCTCTTTCAATATTCATAAAAATATGAATAATGTGATATTTTAAATTACTATTTGTTAACACTGGATTTCAAACATTTGATTTCAAAGTGGCTCAGTGGTTCTCGACGAGCTTATGTTCCTTCTGTGGTGTGGATCGAGAAACTATTGCTCATTTGTTTTTACAGTGTTCCACTTCCAGAGTACAGGATATATGGAATCTAGTTTTTAGGTTTTTGAAGATAGTTTAGGCCGTAGCTTAATGGACCATGAAAAAAAACTGGTGGCTTTGGTTGGAATTTTACTTCATTTGAGTTCGAATCACCTCATATTGTTACGCTTGTGTTCGTGTATAGCTAAGTTTGTGATTTATTCTGCTCGTAGTAAGGTTCTGTCACGTAATGTTGGTTTTCATTTTGTGAATACCTTTAAAGCTCAAATTAAAGCCAAAATTTATTTCGATTTTTTCCGGTTTCGGTTACGAGACAAATTGTCAGATTTTTATAGCATTTATCGCAACTCTGGGCATTTGGTAAGTGAAGGTGTTCAGGGTTACATCCTATGTCGTGATTTGGTATGATTACTTTGTTTTATTTTTAATGTCTACTAGTTCAGATCCTCTTATTTATTTATTAAGTAACTTTTTTTTAAATTTTTTGTTTGTTATTACTAATTTTCTGTGTATGTAATTTAAGAAATTAACCTTAACTATTTTTATTACTATCCAGATCTGTAATGACATTTTCATGAGATGTGTTGAATCACTGATATTTTTGTTTATACACCCTATATGAGGGTGGATTAATAAAGAAAAAAACAGTGGTGTTCAACTCTTATGTAGAAGTTGCACATTCAAATTCCAGTCGAGTTGGGATTTTTTGTTAATTTATTTATTTAAATGACCGTATTTACAGTAAGCTCTTTCAATACCATTATAGATTAAATCGGGAATTTGAGATATTGGTTAATATTTGAATTAAAAGATGGCGTGTTTACAGCATCAAGCTACCTGAGCTTTTCATTTTGATTGGACACTTCTAACACCATCTGTGAAATAAATTCTAAACTAAAATTCTGAATAAAACTAAAAATAGTTAGAAACGGTGCAAGAAAGAAAACATCACTTAGCAAGAGAAAGAAAAAATAAGAATAAATGGATGGCACAACAAAATCAAGAAAGCTTAGGAAATATTAGGATAACTGAAGTAGAAGGAAGAATAACTGACACAGTCAAATGAAGTTTGTGAAGAAGCAAAGCAAAGAAAACAAATTGATCCTAAAAGACATGCAAATAGGTTCTGACCCCCCTATGTCTTCCCTGTGTGATAAGTGGATACATCAGCTAGTAAAATAGTATATGCCAAATCTTACTATAATTATTTTAGTATGGATTATAGTATTTCATTTTATTGTCTAGTGTTATTTCAGCACTCTTTAAACAGATATTATATTTTTGGTGTGATACTGTCCTTTCAAGACACTATGGCCATTGGCAAAATATATTAAATTACATAAAACAAAAATGAATACATCAATTAATAACTAGCCAGGTGAGCAGTGTTCTTACAAGTACCTTTTTAAAATAATTAAAACTTGCATAATTATTAAATCCATCATTTATGAATGTTCAAAAGACACATTTTAAAAATACTTGGTACATTCTTCCCTTTCTTTTTAGGAGTATATTTTCCATTGTAGATTACGATGTAAAATTTGATCAACAGTTCCATGTTTCTTTGGAAAATCTATTTGTAGATATAGATATATCTATCTCTGCCCCGTCATTCAGTCTTTGACTTAACATTTTAGTTAATAATTATCCATACAATCTACATTAACACTTTTATAAACTGGCCAAATTAATGCTTCATACCAAAATGTGTGCAGTTTCCATACTGATAATTCACTTTAAAATCCTGAACATTTGTATACAAATTGTTTTATAAACATGCTTCTTATCTTTGTCATTTCTAAAATCTCCATTTGAGTTAATAATTGTATATTTATTAAGAGTTTCAGCTTTTCTTTTTCACATTCTCTATCTTACTATAAAGGTTCATACAGTTTGTACTTTAGGTGTTAAATATAATAACATGCTGGATGATAATTTTAAAATTGAAAATTTGGAGCTGTGTCAAGTTCTTACGTTATCTTTCTGCCAATAGTTAATCACACCAGAAGAGATAGTAAACCCCAATATAGATGAACTTTCGATGATGACTTACCTTTCTCAGTATCCCAATGCCAAACTGAAACCAGGGGCACCTCTCCGTTCTCGCATTAATCCAAACCGAATTCGATGTTATGGCCCAGGTGTTGAATCCACTGGTGTGGTGTGTGGTGGCCCCACTAACTTTACAATAGAAACATTTGGTGCTGGTAAGGGAGATATCCAGGTCTTTGTGGAAAACCCTAGTGGTCAGATAGAACCAGTAAGTATAGGCTACTAGTAAGTTCCTTTGATCTTAGTGTTGAAGATAGTATTAGATAGGTTGTTCTTCATCTAGAAATTTAGCAGGTGTTCTTTGTTTACATTACTATTGGCTAAATTAAGATTCAACAGCATTTTTGATCAAGTATTTTATTGACGTGAAACTTCCTTTAAAACTAGATTGTTGTAAAACTTAATATAAAAACAACTCTCTCTACATACTGATGACTTCCATGATGATTATATTTTAAAGATTTTGATACAATTTTTTATTACTTAAGTAGTTTGACAAGGTGACAGTTTATAGATTTTCATTTAAAGATTCATCTTTGTTTTTCTTTTTCTCTAGGTAGAAATCAAATTCAATGAAGATCACAGCATGACTTACACTGTAACATACACAGCTAGATTGGAGGGCCTTCATAAAGTAGGCTGTTTAGTTATGACTTTCTACTCTATTGATCATTAAGAAAAAAATGCTTAATTAAATGTATGTTTATCATCAGACAAACTACTTAACAAATAACCAACTGGTTTTATCATCAAATACACTATTGTATAAGTAACTTTTGTTTTCTTAATCAGAAACTAGAGCTACTTGTTCATCGTTGCAGAAAGTGTTGATCACGTAATTGTAGAATTCAAAATAAATAAAAGAGAATTATAGAGATAATTACTTAATTTATTATGAGATAACATGCTTAACAAATATTACTGATTTACTAATAGGTGAAAGTGACCTTTGCTAACAAGGAAGTACCTAAGAGTCCTTTCCTTGTGACTGTGGAAGGCTATGCAGGTGACTCAAGGAAGGTAACTGCTTCTGGACCTGGTCTGGAACCTTCTGGTGTTATGATTGGTCGGCCTACATACTTTGATGTGTTTACTAAAGGTGGGAATAGTAAATCTGTTGAAAATTTATCTTCTATAGTTTATTCAAGATAAAAATCAAACTTTCAAATGTAAATGTTGAATATAAATCTTTTTAACTGCAAAGAAATTTAAAGTATTTTAAGATCTTAAATAGCTTAAAAAAGAGATTGTTGTTTTGATTTCCATGGTTTTAATCCACTGTTATTTGAAAATGTAAAACAATTAAAGTGAGTACAGCTATAACTGGATTTTAATTTTTAATCTTACAGTTACTTTTGAATTTGTCTTAATTGTGTGGGAACTTGAATGACAAATGACTGCTAGCTTGCAAGGCACTTTTCAACAATTCAAGGTTCAAATTCTTCCCTATTTTTTAAAACAAGTCCCACCTTCATGCTTTATCTCAAGGTCAAGGAATGACTACTAGCTGGGCACCAGTTTTTCTGTGGTAATCCTATTTTATATATTTCCTTAACTCTGGATTGAACATGAGACCCCTCACATTGAGTGCTCTGCCAACTGAATAATTGTTAGTAAAACAGTTTCTAAGAACTCAAATGAACACAACTAGTTATAATGTGTTACATTTATTGTAAGAAGTAAGACCCAGAATAAGTTTATTACCTAGCCAATCAATTCAAGAAGTAAGAACAATGATGTGTTTACTTCATAGCCAATGGATTCAAAAAGTAAAAACAAGGATAGGTTTACTTCCTAGTAAAGTGTATTCAAGAAGTAGGAACAAGGATTGGTTTACTTTCTAGTCTGAGGATTTAAGAAGTCAAAAACAAAAATTGGTTTACTTCCTACCCAGTGTATTAAAAAAGTATGAATAAGGATTGGTTTAGTTCCTAGTCAGTGGATTTAAAAAGTAGTAATATGGATGGGTTTACTTCCTAGTTAGTGGATTTAAAAAGTAGTAATATGGATGGGTTTACTTCCTAGTTAGTTGACTGTGAAAAGTAAGGACAATGATGTTTACTTCCTAACTAGTTGACTGTAAGAAGTAAGATCTAGGTAATGGTTTATTTCCTAGATAAGGAATTATAAGAATAAAGACCCTGGGTTGGTTTATTTTCTAGCCTATATATACCCTAGAAGTAAGACTTAGGGTGAGTTTACTTCATAGCCAGGGAAACAAGAACCAAGGTGGTGTGTTAATTCCTTTTTATATGAACAATTTGTATATGCTAATGCAGTGGGAATTTACTACAGATTTAATCCATTTCACCACAGACATGTTTGATACCTGTATAAAGTATTTCCAAGGTGACATTTTTAATTGAGATATGAAGTAGGCCAAAGTTTTTAACCTGTATGTAATATTTCCAATAAGAGGGAGTATGTGTCTCAGGCTAATCCTGTGATGAAAGTGGTCAAGTGGAGAGTAAAACTCCTTCTCTGAATACTTCATGTTAAACTGATTTTATCCCACTTGGTTTATTATATATCTTTTGGTATCAGTTCCATGTTATCATTTGGTCTTCTTCTCTGTCAGAGAAGAAGACCATGTGATAAAATATAATAATACTAAAATAATAGGACACAACTTAAAACAAGAAAAAGAAGGGTAAAAAAAAGAAAAAAGTATTCTACATCCACCTAATTAATAACATACTCAGTCAACCTAGCATAAACGTCAGCAAAACCTGGATACCTCTTTTGAAAAACAATCAAACAGTCAGATGATTGAAGTTCCAATGGAGTAGATAGAACCCAGATGAATATATAACGCAACCCGGGCTTCCATTAGGAAGATCCAGGATCAAATCCCAGCCACTGTCAATACAGAAACTAATCCTTCTCAGGGCTTCCTGAAGAGAGCAGCAGATTAGCAGTTGAAACTTAGGATAAAAACTAATTAGAAAGTAGTATCTAGATATAAAAATAATGATAATACTATTAACAGTAAAAAAAATGGTTACTAATTAATAATTAGACTTAGATGAATGTATAGGCTACTGAACATGAGAACAATTGATATCTAGTCACCACAACTTTACTGTAAGTACTTACACTCTGTTGTCTACTCAGATGCAGGTCGTGGCCAGGTGGAGGTCACCATTGTTGATTCTCACAGTAATAAAAGCACCATACCCTCAAGGTTACGGAAGATTAATGAAAATGTGTATCGGTGTGAGTACATTAGTCAGGTGGTTGGATCTATATTTGTCAACATTTTCTTTGCTGGACAGCTGATTCCTAATAGCCCATTTGGAGTAATGGTGTCACCTGGTGAGTACACTAGTGAGGGACTTGGAAAGATTTGTTAGGAATTTGGGGAAGAGTCACTAGATAAATATATCGGTGGGGGATCCATGAGGAGTTGCTGGTATATACATCAATGGAGGATTCAGGGGAAGGTACTAAGTATATACATTATTAAAAGATCTGGGAAATTCACTAGGTATGTACATGGGTGGGGAATCTATGGAGAGTCACTAGGTGTATACATCAGTAGGAAATTCAAGAAGAATAACTATGTACATCAGTGGGAGGCTTGTGTGGGATGTTACTTGCTGAATGACCCATTGAGATCTATATAAGGATGTCACGACATGTAAACATCAGTAACAGATCTAAATGTATCACCTTTGATTACATCAAGTGAGATATAGGAGGCATTATACAGTTCTCCATGAACCTTCTTTTAGATGTTGAACATCATTGATGTGACTCTACATCACTGAGAGAATTGTAGATGTGTTGAATGATTCAATCTAATATCAAGAGAAACTGATCTCTTAATTTTGATTACACTAAATAAACCATGGTATATGAATTTTTTTCAATATAACAAAACGTGATTGCACAGTTTGTTTTTTTTCATTGTGTTTAAGAATAATGTAGTTCTTTGAAAGATAATGTAAGGAAGTTTTACAAAATGAATACAAGTCTAAGAAAGAAAAGACATATTTTGGGAGTCAAATTACAAACTTCTTGCAGTTGAAAGAACCTTCATGTTATGTAATGTTAATTGGAAATGTATATGGTGACCCATCCTTTTTTTTATCAGTTTGAATCTGCCTTATGTGAAGAGGGGGATTAATGACAATATGAAATTTTTCATTTTTCTCAATAAAATAATATTGATTCAAGTATTAAATGTACAATTAATACAAGGTGAAAAATATTTCTATTTCTTAGTTGCATTTTGACCTATAGTTAATACTTTAACATTTTTTTTTTTGGATGGATAGAAAAAATAATGTATTCTTTAAATTTAGTCAGTATTGATATTTAATATTTATAACAAACTTGTAAAACTCTATTGTGTTTCTTGTGTTAGTGTGTGATGCACGAAAAGTACGTGTGTCTGGAAGAGGTATCCAACCCCGTGGTGTCCGTGTACATGATATCGCAGACTTCAAAGTTTTTACAGAAAATGCCGGTGATGGGAACTTAGAGGTGAAAGTGACTGGATCAGGTACTTTGATCATGTAAAATATATTTAAAGACTCAAGACTTAGATATAAAGAAAAATATTTTGTATATTTTAAAAATCAAGTTTAAAAAAAAAGTACCTGTTAGGTAAACTTGTACTTATTATTTTTCAATTAAAAATGTTTAAATCCTCTATTAAATAATTTTTTATATTTAAAAAAAGTTTATATAATTAAGCTATGTAATGTATCTTTTAAAAAGAAATGTATACATAATAATTATAGCAGTAGATATGCATTTAAAGTTCTTATTAAATTTATATATCACTAGTATAGCACAATGTCAAAACATTTTTTTCAGGGATTTAGAAATATTTTCCTCTCTATTGAAGTTTTTAATGTATATATAATAACTTGGTGCATTTTGATAATCATTTTAGATTTTTAGCATTCTTGTATATCTATGATGTTATAGCATTGTAGTGGCTCTGTTATATGGAATTGGCTTTATTTGGTATTTTGCGAGTTACTTTTGAGTTTTGATGTATTTAGTTTAGCTTAGTTTTTGTAATGCTCCCCAGTGGTTCAACATTAAGTCTGATGGCTTGTAACACTAAAAATCGAGCTTAGATACCCATAGTAAGCACAGTACAGATAGCCCATTGTATAACTTTGGGCTTAACAACAAAGAAACAAACATTTTATGATAAATTCTTATTAATATCTTTATCAGTATTAATTATAATACTTCTTGTTTTGATCACTAGATGGAGATAAGGAACGTGTAGAGGTGAACAAAATAGATGACACAACCTATGAATGTATTTACCGACCAATGAAAGAAGGATCTTTTGTAATCACTATTTCTTATGGAGGACAGGAAGTATCCCGCAGTCCATTTGAAGTAAATGTTGGACCATATAAAGAATCAAAGATCCGAGCATATGGACCAGGACTAATCGGAGGTGTTGAGGGTTATCCAACCTGTTTTACTGTGGATACAAATGGGGAAACTGGATCACTTGGTAAGCAGTAAATGTAGTCGTCTTTCTTCTCTGATTAACATCAAGGACGCATTAGTTACTGAAAACTTGTTGAACACGACCTCAGGATTCACTCAAACACTTCCTCAAAAATAAACCTGTAGTAAAGTAGTCTGGGTTTCTTAAATAACAACAAGTACCTTCTGAATTATTACATTTCTCATGTGAAAGTTAAAATCTCCAGTAGATATCAAATATTCTGTAAAAAATGCCACTATCTGAAGAATTGGAAAATTAATATTAGGTTTAACTAGTAATTATCTAAATGTTTCAATTTCTCAGGGTACCATAATATTACTTACTGTTTCAAATATAGGTTCACTTTAAGTGTGCATTGTAGATTTTAACTTTTAGGCTCATTTTGCCCAGTCTTTATGTAACCATCTGTTAGTTCAGCATCTTTATGTAACATATATTTTTATGTAACAGTGTTAGTTTGGCATCTTTAAACTGATCATGCTGAATTAAACCATGTATCTGTTTAAATTGAACATTGCTACCTTGTAGGAAACATCATATTTACCCAGAGCAACTAGCACTACCCATGTGACTGATCATTCTTATTCAGATATAGGCCATAACTTTGAAATGCCACCTGATCTACCATTGACAGACACTGTTGTCTACATTCATGCAGAACATGCAGTGTTACAGCCATGTCTGCCATGACTGGAACAGGTGTAATCTCATTGTTATGACAAAGAACAAAGACAACTCTAAGAACATCAACATAACCATGTTTTATGAGAAAGCTGAACATGCTCCAAAGTAACTGATAAGTTCAGAATAATACTATATTGTTACGTCTCTGTTTGTTAATTAACTTTCCGTAACTTCGTTTCGACGAAACTTTAGCGGCATAAGTCCTTACTTAATAAAACTGGTTTATTCTTTCCGAATACAACTTTACGATACACTTATTTTCAACAATCACGCTAAAACAAACGCTATATCAACGAACGTCAACAATATTTCTGACTGCAGTTCAATTACTCACTATCTACACACACGCATTACATTATTGTCCTGTCACGTTGTCACCCTCTTTTATATACCAGACTACCCTATATCTAGTAAATGCTAGAGCATTCGCCAAGGTACAGGATAGTTCTAGAAATGTGGCGTCACACTAGTCATGTTACTCGCTGATGCAACAATATTAATAAAATAAGGTAGAAATGTATGATATATTCATATACCACAACAGTATGGTAATTCAGTTTATTTAACATCCCATATTTTTGTCTATTTAGGGTTTTCCATTGAAGGTCCCTCTCAAGCTAAGATTGAGTGTGATGATAATGGAGATGGTTCAGCAGATGTGAAGTACTTTCCAACAGTTCCTGGTGATTATGCGGTCCACATCTTGTGCAACAATGAAGATATTCCTAAATCTCCATTTATGGCTGTGATTCTTCCCAAGACAGATTACTTTCCAGAAAAAGTAGATATTTCTTTTTACATTCATAAATATTTTTTATTCATAGCAGTAAATATTAAAAATAAATTTCTTATTAAGAGTTTATTCAAAGAATCGGGCTATTTGAAAAATTGCTATCATTTATGAAATATTATGTTGTTTTTTTCCCATACGCTTAACAAAGTTTTATTAACATGAATATTATCAGAGTGGTAACTTAATTCTGTGGAATATCCCACAGTTCCTAATAGAAATTTAAATGTCTTTGACACCATTGTAAATGTCTTCAGTATTTTCCTAAAAGTCTAATATAAATGAAAATTTAAATGTGATGCATCATAAAAAAATATTATTAACGAATATATATACAAAGGACTAAACCACTGCCCTAAAGAACCAAAATTTGAGAGCTCCAAATACATATAGCTCAAAACAGGCAGATTTAGCTCTGAAATACGAAAATGTTTTTCTTCTTGAGCTGTTCTCATGCTTTCAACAATTATGTGATTTTATGTTCTGAATATCTTTCTCCCAGTGCAAAGCATGTGTCAATTTGTCCATAGTTCTCCAATCTTCTACATGACTTACTGCCTCTGTGTATATGTGTGTGTGTGTGTGTGTGTGTGTGTGTGTGTGTATAT